ATCACTGGTTCTACTGAACCGATTTAGATGAAATTTGGTGAGAAGATAGTTTGAGACCCTGGGAAGGACATATGGTACTTATTATCCCAGAAATCATCCCTTAAGGGCGTGAAAATGAGGATGAAAGTTTGTATGGGGAATCAAGCTAGGGACGAACCCGACCGAAGCCAGGATGAGTCGCTAGTTAAGGATATTTTAATAAAATTAGAATTTTGCAAGTGGCTCTCGAGTAAAGAAATTATATAAACACACGCCCTTAACATTGATCTATAGAATATATCTTTATGCTCCACAAACTCTACGAGGAAGGCATTAAATTATACATGTACTAGTATCTCAGATTGTAGATCTGATATTCAACAACGATAGGTACTAATGATAGATCACACATTTGATATACAACAACAGTTTTGCGATGCTAATGTGCTTTTCTAAGAGCATTGTCATATAAGGTCGAGCGTTTATGTGTAGAGTTAAATAACACTATATTTCATGCTACTTTATTTTGTATAACTTTAAATAATAACACTACAATGACAGAAATATAGTAGAGTTATCAAGAAGATAAAACTACTTTTATCTTCTTGATAACTAAATAAATGAACTGGTGAATTAAAGAAGAATTATATCGAACTGTAGACCAATGGCTAAGTCGCGAATGTCACTTGGTCTTAAGGGCCGTCTAAAAAGACATAAATATATTAGACTACATTACTCTTGATCTACGAAACAAGAAAATAACCATTAGAAATGACTGTTTTGTTGCTTTTACAGCGCTTGATGGCGCTACATTTCGAATGGACGACTTGGCATAAATCCCTGAATGGAATAGACTTGGCACATTACTTACTTTGGTAAGAAAGCTAACGATAGTTGACTGTTTACTCTTACTGTTTGCATTTTGGTTCATCGCTGGACTCGATTAATGTGGCTTTTCATATGGTTGGTTGACTCATTCTAATAAGTTTTGAAAGACATTTAAAATTATCGTTTAACTAGTCGTTTCCATCATGAATTGTTGTTTTGATTACTTACCTACAAATTTTTGCTTACTTAATTTCAATGTTAGTGTATTAATTATATTATTTGTTGTGAATTTTAAATTTCTATGATATTGGTTTGTTTTAAAAAAAAATTGACCACAAGATTATTTTAATTTTAAGTAACTAACGACTCGCCCTCGCTTTGCTCGGGTTCATTACGGTACGTTTTAACAGTTACTATGGAATAGATAGATGATTATATATTATAATTATACATACATAGGTGTGATGAGTTGTATTATAATGTGTTTATCATGGGAATAAGATAATCTCCCGCGGTAACCCTATGTTTAGCCCTCCAACTACCTCTTTCACTCTGTTTCGACGTGAAATAAGGACAAACAAACACACTTTCACATTTATAATATTAGTATGGACTCTGCTATAGGTACCTACTGTAAAGAAATTGGTTACCGCTCACCTGATTTATAGGTAAAGATTTTCACATAATAAGCATGGAAAAGGTGATGCTGTTTTAATGTATAAATGTATTAATCATGTATATAAATAATAAATATGTACCTTGTAAACGCAAAGCATTCTAGAAGCTCTTTGTTGAAGAAAAAAGACCATAATTGATAAAACTCATTTGACTTTATTCGCAATTAACTTTACGGATTATAAACTCTATTGTGGTTCATAAGCAGTTAATATTACAATTAAAGTCGTAATGAAATATAAAAAATAGATTTATTAATGTGAATAAATAAGCAAATTATTGCTATTATAAATTGCGTATATAATAGTTATTTTTACGACTTGGTTAGTATATATTATAATTTTATTGACGAGCTTTTAATATTTTTATATTTAAAAACGTACCTACTAACCTTAATTTAAATTATTTATATTTACAGCTTTGGACAATGTATATTAATTGAACTGAAATTTTCATTAAAAAACTATTGACTATGACATTTTTATCTATGTACCTTATCAGTTTCATGTGACACTTTAGAAAGTCTTAATATTCAAGTCCCATTTCTAGCTCCATTCCAAACATCGCCACAGTAAATAAAAATGTATTTTACTTATGTATCTTACTAATATTATAATTAATGTGAAAGTTTAGATGTTTGGATGGATGTTTGTTACTCAATCACACCAGAACGGCTGATCGGATCTGGATGAAATTTAGCTCAGAGATAGATCATAGTCCTCAATAGTATAAAGGCTACTTTTTATGCCGGAAAAACATACGTTTCCCGTGGAATAGATTTGTTTTTTTTTCTAGATGCGAACCCGAGCGAAACGAAGGTGAGTCGCTAGTATATAGATAAATATTGAAATATATCGTACAGTGAGTAATATCTCACCCTTCTATCATCAAACCAATAATTATATGGCATCGAATTTAAATACAACTACACATTGACATGCATAACTCTGTTCAAACGTGTCGGCCACATTCATTGTGCACATACCAATATGACAAATGCATTCTACGATGCGCGTGTGCTGCTTTAGTTGCGGTGATTGACGGTATTATCATTTTACTAGCAGTAAAACTTACTTTACTTTAATAATAATGGCTTGAATATTAAATAAATACTTTATAATAATCGTATTCTCTGTGATGATGCTGTCTTTTAAATTTTATACACAGGTCCAAATGCAAGATGTTACAAGATGTTTATAAGGCGAAGATGTCAATTTGACTACATGAAAATAATTGTTAATCTATACAAAGAAATAAATTTGAAGTTTGTTTGTAATGTTAAGGCAGATAGGTGATGTTTTAAGTAGTAACTTGGGCCTTCCTTTTATATTAGAAAAAGAATTAGGGTTCCACGCAATAAAATTGAAACCTATGAAATTGTGAAGAAAATCCGACTACTTAGGGCTCTACTCGAGCAAAGCGAGGGTAAGTCACTAGTTAGTTAAATATGAGTATAAACAGTGTGTGGCTACCAAACTTAAGACCACCAACGATGCATTGCCATAAGCAAAGTATAAAAATTACTCTTAAAATATCTATGCTTTAAATAAGTTGCTTTTATTTTTACTTATTAAAGAGATAAACCGAATTCGCAGCATTGTTTTTATAAATATTATGTTAATATGAGATATCGAGATCATACGAGATAGCGGATGTATATATAAACTAATTAATTTCTATATTAAAATGTTAATTATCAATTCCCAACATAAATTTTAACTAATGAATGCTTGTTACAAGATAAACATAATCATGATGCGTAAACGCAGGTTGAAATTTGTATTTAATTTAATATTAATTGAAATAAGCAGCTTAGAGATAGTTTGTGAAACTACACTATCTAGATTAGTTAAAAGGTGCGGTGATATTTGATAAGGCTTGGCCCGTTTTGATAATTTTACAAAACGCCTGTACTGTTTCTATGCTGTGTTAATAATAAACTTTCACGGGTGGAACATTGTTTCATGGCGTATCTATTTCTTGTAATTCACTGAACAGTAAGTTACTTAACAAATAATATAAATGCGAAAGTGTTTGTTAGTTGGTTCTTCATTGACGCGGAAATAAAGCCTCTCGCCTTTTGATGTCACATTGATGTGATTTTTATATAGAAACAAGCTATCATTATAGTTTATACCAAATTTCAATAAAGTCTGTCTAGTGGTCTTCTCGTGATGCGTTCCCAGACAGACAGACAAAAAATCTAAAAACTATAGATTCGGCCTAACCTACCAATAATAATGTCTATTTCAATAAGATTTTCCAAAAAATATTTAATGTACACATTCGTCTCAGCATTTTATTATATTATGTATAGATAGAGTTGGAATGTCACGTCGACTTTTTACAAAGTTTTAAAGTCTGTTTTAAAAGTTCCGTAAAAACGAAATTAGTTTTAAATTTTAACAATTCTGCTACGTTTTATTTTTTACTTTTATTTGTATTAACTATCCTAAATACACCATTATTCTATTGCATGACCATTAAAGGTAATCGGTAACCCCTCTGGACGCCATAATTCACGGTTTTCCTGGCGCCTATTTGTTCGTGCTTTGAATTATAAGTATTGTCGTTGACCCTTGTGAAGCCCAAGTTTGATTTATCTGTTATTTTAATTTGGAAATAAAATAATTGCTTTCTATACTTAAAACTAAATGCTAATTGAAATTATTACTCTATTTTAAAACTTTCAACGTATCTTGCTGAAGCTGACTATTATTTGTTTTGCAAATATAAATTAATAGTTTGGAAAGCTTTTATAGATTCAAATATTACAAAATATATCTATAAACATAAAGTCAATAAAATAGCGATGAAACTCGATCTAGATCAATATATATTAGATATTTCAACATCCATAATTCTGATTTAATTGGATTAGGTAAATATTTCCTTTTATTTCATAATACTGTGAATAATAATCCCATTAATATTATAAATGCGAACGTTAAATGGATGGATGTTTGTTACTCAATCACATCAGAACGGCTGAACGGATCTGGATGAAATGTGGCACAGAGATAGATTATAGCCTGGAAAAGCGCATAGGTTACTTTTTATTCCGGAAAAATGTACGGTTCCCGTGGGATAGATTTGTTTTTATGTTTTTCCAGGGACGAACCTCAGAGGAGCGAGGATGAGTCGCTAGTACTTTATAAATATAGATTAGTGATATTTTGAGGTAAAATATTTGAAGAATGGGCATTTGTTCGAATTGCTTCAAAGCCATTTGTGCCAATGTTATTTCGTTCGCGAGGGTTTTCTTAGCTCTTGGCCCGAGGCCAGGGACTTGACGAGTGCTTGACAACCAACTTGACCTGTATATGGAAGCACAATGCGGTGAATTAAAAGATAAATTTAGGCTGATGTCTACTCGCCTTATATAATTTGCTTAAATGCGTCATATTCGTCTATTATCTAAAAAATAAAATAAAATTATATATAAAACGAAAATATTCTTGTAGTTAATGAATACTTATGAATAACTTAATATTTACACTTCTTTTTTTTCTTTCCAGATTCAATTCAACACAAAATCAAACGGAACACCTCAATTTTAGCATTTTAAGTTCAACTTGACAAAAGTTATCTGTGATCTCATTTAGTTTAGTTTACCAAACATTTGCCTAATAGTTTTTAAGTGTAATAAACAATAGGTGCGATTAATCATCAAATGTTCAAGGAAATCCAGCTCAAGTGACCAACTTTTGGTGTTTGAATTAAGATTGGAAAATGGCAAGTTAGTTCTCGGTCATGGATGATAGATAATATGTGTAGTTGAAGGATGGGATAATGGAAGTTGGGGCGTTAGGTTCTTGAAAATGCCGCATGCGCACTCGAGTTCTGCAGCGAGCTCGGGCGGCGACGACCTGGGCTCCACGGACGAGGTCAAAGTATTTAAAGACGAAGGAGACGGAGAAGACGAAAAAAGAAGTTCCGAGAATCTTCTAGAAGAGAAGTCTAGTCTTATCGATTGGACTGAAAGTGAAGTAAGTGTTAAATCATTATTTTTTCTAGCTGTTAATATTTTTACACTAATATTATAAATGCGATTTTGTGTTTGTTTATTCTTTATGCTGTAATAGCTCCACGGATTTTAGTGAAATTTGGAATAGATATAGCTAATCTCCTGGATTACTACACATACTGGGTTTACTCACATATTGACTGCACATATACATACGACATACTAGTATATTTTTTATAACTGCTCCTACCTACCATGCGAGCATAGCTACGGGTAAAAATTAGTCTTTCATAGAACTGTCTATCATTATAATTTCAATGACTAAACTGCATCTTTATAGGAGGGGACTGTAGCAACCTAAAATTAAGTCAGTCACTTATAAACTTTAATAACTCAATTTACGTTTTTAAACAGGAAGAAAATTTAATTATGGGTTGGGACTCTATTCTTGTTTTATAGTTAATACTGTAGATGCAAAGATAGTACAGAAATCTACATAAAACTAATGATGTTGTTAGTAAGAAAATAAACGAAATGCATGAAGAAGAAAACCTAATCAGAATTGGAACAGCTTAAAAATATAGAAATTTGACAAAATCCTTATAGGTGGTCTGAATAACCATAAATTACATAATGTAAGACAATCAGACGTTTAATGTTTTGTCCACGGTCGCACAAACATATCATACAAAGAATTGCTTCACGCGGCGCTTCAATTTGTTCTATTATTTGCAAAAACAAATATTGCAAATATTATCCTTTTCATCCTATTAAGAAGAGTCAAAGTGGCGTGCACAAATTTTTTGATATATTTTGTGGTACATTATCCCGTATACCCCAGCAGGTGCTTACTTCAGGTAGATCTCTATTGATGTTTTCTTAGCAATAAAGTACAAAGCCATTGAAGGCAAACATAATATATTGATCAGCAGTCAGTGCGCCCTGTCAATACCCGATAGATGTAGGATACTTAGAATTTATGCTAATATCGCCTTTATCTTGCTTAGAATAGGATTCCGGTAATGCGGATAATACAAATGACTTGCCATGTATTGCGTTTACTACTTATAATTTTACACTTCCAATCTATCGAAATTCAACGAATTGTGCTGTTGCTCTTATTCATGTCCGCCCACGCTTTAAGCTACTATTTGAACCTGTTTTTATCATAGAACTTAACATGGATCAATTTGTCATGTTTACGGCGTAGCTCGTTCCCGTTGATGATCATTTTACGTCAAGAATTTGATAATATACCATTTACGACTGCATCGGATTTTTATACGCTCCAAGTGTCGAGCTTTAATATTCATAAGATGAAGCGGTTAGTGACCTTGTTATGTTCGACTATGCGTAGATTAACATCAGAACTGTTAACTTTAATTTTTTAAACTACTTAATTAGCGGTAGGATGGTCACAAATAACAGAGATAAGATCGCGGAGTTCCCAAAAATGTTTGTAATCGCAAATTACCCGTAAAACAAACAAATCAACCACAAGGACCGAAACTAACGTCACCCAAAACACTGATTGTCGGAGCGCCATACAAAAAAAATTGTAAGAAAGCTCCAGGTACATTTCCGAAAATTTATGTAAAATAATATTCCAGCCGACATGAATTAGTTAGTCATTGTATTATTTCCGAAAACTCTATTATTCGCTAGGAGGGGGCGCGTACACAATGCACATCTACCTGCATTCAGGTATTTCTTATAATAAACACGGACTCCCACTGCTTTTGTAGACGAATTTACCTGTCGACCCGAGAGGTGAGGGAGTGCAAACATTCCGTGGACACCTAAATGAAACTCATGTATGAATCTCTCATCCCTCTTTCTCCATATCCGAGATCAAGTAGTACAAATGAGACAGAAAATCAGAGAGATTTGTACAAGGTTCCCAAAGCATTACAGTCACGGATCGTATAAATATTGGATTATAGTTAGGTGCAATTCTGCTTTGTATGTCATAATAGCATCGATTATCGTACGTGATGCCATTACAATACACTTTGTGCGTACAATTTTCTTTGAGTTTCGATTTCTTTTAGATTACAATTTGACGGCTCGTGAATTCGATTTGAATCGTGTCGGTGCTACGCCTGCTTGATTTTTGGAAATGTTTTCATAACAACAAAGTCGATTTTATTATGTTGTTTGTTTGTACAGGCAGGAGTGCTTATGTCCATATTGTCGATATGCACGCCTTTGATTTTAATGCCCGTACTATTGTTAGCAGATTTTCTTACATCCACACTTATTGCGATTATTTTTATCATGCCTATCAATCGCAGGAATGTTAAAGAGTTGTTAGTTAAATAGCAAAGATGTTTTTCCATGCTTTTGAAAAAACAGCAAGTGTCTAAGCTATTTCCGCTGTGGTTATGGTCCGTTTGATGATTACCGGATAACTAGCCATTTATAGACATGAGGGAATATTTTTTAAGTCCTATTTGGTTGCGTCATTATTTATATATCAAAAAAATCTTAGTAACGCCAGCTTTATCAGTAACATAAATGGTACTACAGTATTAAGATTAAAATGATAGGAACATAATTTCGCTATGGTGTGCTTAGTCATATAAATGCTTTCTTGACATGTCTCGAAATATCTTCTGAAAAGTATTTGTAACTAGTACAAGTGACACTCACATTTTTCACTAACATTCTATTATAAATAAAATGAAACATCACATTATAAAAAGATATAGAAGGAGTATACTTAAAAATATTTTTAAATTTACTAATCAATGGAGTATAAAGTGAATTTCTCCCAATATACGCCCGCGCACGAAATCCTCGTCTATATTTAGCGAACAACGATCTCTTGTCTGATGCCATCCGTTTCCGTCCGCCATACTGGCCTTAACTGAAACTGACGATTCCTGAGGGCTTAGATTTTTATTTTCTTCTGTATATATTACGTACTTAGATTATACTTTTGGATATTCTTAACATTTTTAATTAATTATCTATAGGTACATATAATTAAATTATAACTAAATCGAATCTGTACATTAAATATTTTTTCCAAAATCTTATTCAACATTGATACAGAGGCCGAATGTATAGTTTTTAGAATTTTTAACTATCTGTCTGTCTATGGGAACGCATCACGAGAAAACTACAACAGATTTTGCTGGACAGCTGGGTATCCGGGTCAACATAAATAATACTTTTTACTGCGGGGAAGTATCTCATGTGTTAGAAATCTGCACTAACTTTTAAAACGTTCTTAAGGACGAACCCGAGCGGAGCGAGGGTAAGCCGCTAGTTCAAATTTAATAGTTGAATAGAATATCAATTGCTTTGTATCATAATTAAGATCACATAGAGTAAGAACGTTCAAAGAATTTTAATTACAATTAGAGTGACACAGTTTAAGAATTAAATATATCACGATCGTATTAATAATTTCTAAGCGCAAATCCCCATATTAATTCAGCCTTGTAGCGTACATTTGGTTAATTAGTATTTATTGCTTACTGGCTTCCTTTTCGGTCGCCATCTTTAATGTCGCCTGATTCAGTTTATTGTCTCTTTATCTCGATTACTTGTTTGTAACGAGTTGCAAATGGATCTTTCAACGTCTGGAAATCATTGTTGGGTCTAATTCTGAAGTTACTGCAAAGGAATTAGAATTTACTGGATTGTTCGTAATTTGTATTCAATCATACAATATCCCATATATATTTATGAGTTATATGATAAAAGAAATGTGTTTTAGATATTATATGTGATACTCATGTTTTTCTAGAATAGATAAAAAATTACTAATTGGAATTAAATTAAAATTAATAATAGTCACGTACTGACTTTAGTCACTATAAAACATGTTTCAAAACATCATGAGTCTCATATAAATTCATGAATTATCTCATTTTCTATGAATTACGCTTAAATTATTGAATTTATCAAAAAGCCTTCAAATTAAATGCATAGTGATTTACCATAACCTCTAATGTCTCTAACAATATTAATTTCACATACCGTATCTATTCGACGTCGGTATAGCTAATTATCTAGGTATGCACGTAGGAAGTTGCATTGGCCTGCATTACAATTGTTTTAGTTAGATCTAGGGAAGCTGGATGTGGTAATGCTAAAACGGTATTCCTGTTAAAATCAGTTTAGTGTTTCTGGATATATACGTAACTAATCTTCTGTATACTAATATTAAATAATAATGAGAATACAAAGTACCTACTGCCCGCGTGGTTTAAAAACAACGGAAACTACCACCCCTTTCTACCTCTGTATGAGTTGAATTTAAAAAAAAATAATTCATAGTGGATACTTACTGTAGAAATATAATTGCCTAATATCAAGTTTATATTTATTAAACTTTCTTTCATATTATATACATATAAATTTTTATTTGATAACCAATAAATATTTGTAGGTATAAAGATAGGGTAAATATCTATCTATATATTAAAATATAAATACCTATAGATATTTACTGCTTTACCTAGTAGTGACAGTTAAAAAAAACAACATATGTTTGCTAATATTTAGTATTGCAATATTATTGTTACCCACACACATAATTACCCACATGTTCATATAATATCTACTAACAAAATAAAGACAATTTAACGAAGGTCTCCTAATTTTACATAAGCAAGCGTGTAGCGTTTCACAATAAGTCATGATATGATGAAAAGAACATAGTGACTTTTATTTCATCTACTGCTTTTTGCTAATCTACGTCGCGCTTAGTTTGATAAATTTAGGTATTAAATTAATTATTAATTAAATTTAGGAATAGATAAAATAATTTAATTCAGTTAGCAAATATTAAAAGTGACTACATTGACGTTTTTAAACTGGTTTTAGAAATTTTAAACTTGGATTTCATTGATTAAATACCTGTGACTAACAAATTACTTATCAGCCAGAAAAAAAATTGTTTATTGATTTGAGTTACTATGGAATATAAATAAACATTTTAGTGATATCAAAGCAATTAACCAAATAATTATTAAGTTTCCTATCCAACACAAATCCAGCTAGATATAT